CCTGCCTCTGCCTCCAGAGTCGCTGGGATTACAGGTGTATGCCATCATACCCAGCTCACCATTAAAATTTTTAAGACAAAAAGATAAGGGAAAAATAGAAGTTAGATTATAGTAGGGGATTTTTGATTCAACTCTTCCAGTCCTTGATAGAACAATAATAGAGAATAGGTTATGACATAGGATATGACACATGAGGTTAATAACATCATGAATGGTGTAACAAACAACATACCATGAAAACAATTATTTTTTTTTTCACACACCCTTTAGGCCTCCAAAAAGAAATTTAGTTAATATAAGAAGCAAAGATATATGTAGATTATGATCCTATTTCTTTTCTAGAATTAAAACAGAAAAGTACAAAAATTTTCCATTTGAAAAAACCTCTTTTTTTAAGAAGAATATTTTTAGTTGTAGATGGACACAACACCTTTATTTTATTTATTTAGTTTTTTTATGTGGTGCTGGGGATCAAACTCAGTGCCTCATGCATGCTAAGCAAGCATTCTACCACTGAGCCACAACCCCAGCCCTGAAAAAGATTAACTCTTGGGTCAAAGGAAAAATAAAAAATTAAACCAAATGGTAGAATGTGCTGATAGTCAAAATTCTGTGTATTAATATCTATTTTCCTTTGAGTATAGTTAAAGCTGTACTCAAAGGAAAATTCATAGATGTAAATAGAATATTAAGCTGGAAAAGAATGAAAATTCAATCCAAGAAGTAGAATAAAATAATTGGAAGAAAGTGGAAGGATGGTATTAGCAGAGATAAAAGCAGAAATTTAGGAAGTAGATAAATGAGAGTGCTAATAACTCTTAAGATGTTTTTTATTTTTGGTAGACAGTGTTGATAAAAATATTAAGCAGATAAACTAAAGCTCATCATGAACAAAGGGAGAAAAAAATATCACATTGTATGTGAACGTACAATAGGACATGGATATTTAGAAAATTAAATGTAAAAAGTTTACTCTGCTCAACTGGATACAGATAAATTGAAAACAGAAGAGCACTATTAGGCTCAAGCAACCCAAGGAACATAGATAACTGAAATGCTTTTTACATTCTTAAAGAACAGAAAAAGAGGGATGGAGGTGTAAGCTCAGTGGTAGAGCTCTGCCTAGCTTGCGGGAGGCCCTGGGTTAGATCCCCAACACAACTTGTGTGTACACGCACATAGAAAAAAGAACATAGGAAAATAAAAAATTGTTTTGTAAATTACTTTTTACAACATTATATTGATACCAAATCTGCCAAAACACACAGAAGAAAACTATACCATTCTCAAAATACAAAAATCTTGCTGGGCATAGAGGCACTTGCTTATAATCCCAGCAATTTGGAAGACTGAGGCAAGAGGATCAAAAGTTTGAGGCCAGTCTCAGAAAACTAGTGAGTCCCTGAGCACCTTAGTGAGAATCTGTCTCAAAATAAAAAGGACTGGGGATGTGGCTCAGTGGTTAGCACCCCTGGGTTCAATCCCTGATTACCAAAAAAAAAGATAAACAAAAAGTAAAAAAAAAAAAAAAAAATCCTAGATATTGGTGTCATTCAACAGCACATTAAAAGAATAAATAATGTTTGATAACCAAGTTGGCTTTTCTTATATTTTTCTTATATGGAGGTGTTAAACACCATAATTTTAAAAGTGTAAACAGGAAATAAGATTTCCCTAGGTGATGAAAAAATTGGTTAAATTAACCATCAACTTTTACTAAGTTGCTTTGGGCCTTGCTGATTCTGGCTTCAGCATCTTCCTGCCTCTGCCTCCAGAGTCGCTGGGATTACAGGTGTGCGCCACCATACCCAGCTCACCATTAAAATTTTTAAGACAAAAAGATAAGGAAAAATAGAAGTTAGATTATAGTAGGAGATTTTTGATTCAACTCTTCCAAATAAAACACAAACTAAGAAACTTGACAGTATTGGGGTCTTAACCCAGGGGTGCTTTACCAATGAATTACATTTCTGGTCTCCCCCCTTTTTTTTATACTAAGGATTGAACTTGGGTCACTTAACCTCTGAGCTACATCCCCCTGACTTGCTATTTTTTTATTTTGAGAGTATCTTTTTAAATTGCTGAGGGTCTTGATAATTGACAGAGGCTGGTCTCCAACTTGTGAACATCCTGCCTCAGTCTCCCAAATTGCTGGGGTTACAGGTATTTTTCACCATGCCCAGCTCAAAAACCTATTCTTAGTAAGATAGGAATTGTTGGGCTTGGGGATGTAACTCAGCTGGCAGAGTGCTTGCTGTGCATGCACAAGGCCCTGGGTTCAATCCCCAGCACCAATAAATAAACAATAGGAATTGTGGGTTGCTTTTTTTTTTTTAATATATTTTTAGTTGTAAATGGACACAATATCTTTATTTTTATGTGGTGCTGAAGATCGAACCCAGAGCCTCACATGTGCGAGACAAGTGCTGTACCGCTGAACCACAACCGCAGCCTCTGTGGTTTACTTTTTTTCTTTTCTTTGTTTGGTGTTTGAGATTGACCCAGGGCCTAGCATGTGCTAAGCATACACTTTCCCATGGAACTACAAATATGGAATATGTGTTGTGATGTGATGCAAATTAACATTATTTCTAATGAAGCAGTTATTTAAATTTAGGAGTTAACAGTGTTGCTGCCACTGTCGTCATTATTATCATCATCATGATTATTATTTGTTGTACTGGGCATTAAACCCAGTGATGCTCTATCATTGAGCTACATCCCTGACTCTTTTATTTTTTTAGTTTGTGACAGAGTCTCACTAATTTCCTGAGGCTGGCCTCAAACTTGTAATTTTTTCTGCCTCAGCCTCCAGAGTACCTGGGATCACAGGTGTGTGACATTATGCACAGCTTTGCTATTATTGCTTAACATTTTTTCTGGTGGTTCTAGCCAATTGAGTTATGGGAGAATATATGCTTAAAAAACTGGAAAGAAAAGTGAAATCCTGAATTTTTTTTATTTTTTATTTTATTTTTATTTTTTATTTTTTTTAAAGAGAGAGTGAGAGAGAGGTAGAGAGAGAGAGAATTTCAACATTTATTTTTTAGTATTTGGCGGACACAACATCTCTGCTCGTACGTGGTGCTGAGAATCGAACCCGGGCCGCACGCATGCCAGGCGAGCGCGCTACCGCTTGAGCCACATTCCCAGCCCCCCTCAATTTTTTTTAAATTCTTTTTTTTTAATATCTTTATTTTTATTTTTATGTGGTGCTGAGAATCGAACCCAGTGCCTCATGCATGCCAGGCGAACGCTTTACCACTGAGCCACATCCCCAGCCCGAAATCCTCAATTTTGATTGCATAACTAGGAAATTTCATAGTAAAATGTAAGCATTGCCTTTCATATCCCTCCATTCTTGCCCTTAGACTTATGTGATTTGTAAAATATTCTTCTACATACCAACACACAGGTTTATTTCTTTTTGTAAAATTATGTTTTTAGTTGTAGATGATACAATATCTTTATTTTGTTTATTTATTTTTATGTGGTGCCAAGGATCGACCCAGGGTCTCATGATGGCCAGACAAGCGCTCTACCACAGAGCTACAATCCCAGCCCTCTTTTTCTTTCTTTTTTTTTTTTTTCTATAAAGGTAATCAAACAGATTCTGTAAATGACTTTTTTTAAAAAAGTTTTTTATTTGTTTTAATTAGTTATACATGACAGTAGAGTGAAGCAGGAGGCATCACAATATCAGACCTTAAACTATACTACAGAGCCATAGTAACAAAAATGGCATGGTATTGGCACCAAAACAGACATGTAGACCAGTAGTACAAAATAGAAGACAAAGAGACAAACCCACATAAATACAGCTATCTCGTGCTAGACAGAGGTGCCAAAAACATTTAGTAGAGAAAAACTAGCCTATTCAATAAATAGTGCTGGGAAAATTGGAAATCCACCTGTAACAAAATGAAACTAAAACCCCATCTCTCACCCTGCACAAAACTCAAAGTGGATCAAAGACTTAGGCAACAGAAACCCTGTGCCTAATAGAAGAAAAAATAGGCCCAAATCTTCACCATGTTGGCTTAGGATTTGACTTCTTTAACAAGTCTCCTAAAGTGCAAGAAGTAAAATCAAGAATCAATAAATGGGACAGCTTCAAACTAAAAAGCTGCTTCTCAGCAAAGGAAACAATCAATAACATGAAGAGAGCCAGCAGAATGGGACAAAATCTTTACCACATGCACCTCAGATAGAGCATTAATCTCCAGGATATATAAAGAACTAGAAAACACCAAAAAACAAAACAACCCAATCAATAAATGGGCTAAGGAACTGTATATAACTTTTTAAGCTTAATTGTACCCAGGGTATTTTTTTCACTGAAGTTCATACACACTTACGTGGACTAATTTGTGAAAGACTTTGCCAGGTAGATGAGTAGTTTAAGAGAGTATAAGAATGAAAAACTGCCTGGGTTGCTTTGACATATTTCCTGTCCTAACTATTCAGACCTTTAGGAAAGCTAAATGAATTTGTAGTCCAATTCTTGCATCCCAATAAGGTGGAAAGGAAAAGCTCTAATTTTTGTTTTATATTGATGTTATTAGATTACTTAGTAATTTGAGTGATTTATTAATATTTCATGTTTTTTTAATCTATTAAAGTTATCGAAATGTTTCTTAAGGAGAATACAAATACGCTACCATTATCACTAGTAGGTGAAATTAGTAATATAAGAATTAACATTTATGGGCCGGGGTTGTGGCTTAGTAGAGCACTTGCCTATCATGCGTGAGGCACTGGATTCGATCCTTGGCACCATATAAAAATGAAAACAAATAAAATAAAGGTATTGTGTTCATCTACAACTAAAAAAATATTTTTTAAAATGTTTCTTAAAAAAGAATTAACATTTGTGAATAATAACTTAAAGTTATCCAGCGCTTACCATGTGCTAGGCATGATCCTTACTGTTACATGCTTTGTATCATTGGATCCTTAGAACAACAATGATAACATCTCCTATTATCCCTATTTTACAGATGAGAAAACTGAGATTCAGAGAGGTTAAATGATTTGTTCAAGATAACACAGTAAGTGTTAGATTTGGGGCTGGAACGACTGCATCTTCTCAAGTATTTATGTTTCTTGTTATTTGCTGGTATAAGGAATGTTTCATTCAACCTTTTTTCTTTTGTTTTTATTTTTTTAGCACTAAGGGTTGAAACCAGGGCTTTGCACATGATAAGAACATACACTTTACCACTGAGTTGCACCCTAGCTCCATGTTCAGATTCTGAATGAAAGGGTATTTCCCAAGTGTTCCTGTAGCTGGTATCTAAGCTGTTCCATCAGCTTTGGGAGGATGGGTTGGACTGCATCAGCTCTCAGAGACACTGACTTTGCAAAATAGATTTGAGTTTCATTGTTGTGGACTCTTATGGGGTTATGTAATAGCTACCCTTTTGGGGGTAGAAGGGTATAGGCAAAGACAAAGGTCTTTTGGATATAGAAAGGTAGTCAGTATTGTAAAATTCCCTTCCATTTTCTAATGGAATCTCAGAAGGGTTAAGCAATGATTATTATCCTACTTCCAGTGATTAGAAGCACAGGTGGGGTGGAGTGCTGAATGATATAAGTGTGGTTGGATAACTAGGCTTTGTGCTGAAAAAGCTTTGAGTTTAGATGTTATAGTGTGGTGGAGTATTAGAAGGAAAATAACATTTTTAAAAAATTTTACTTTTTATTAGAGCATTATAATTATATGTAGTATTTGGGTTCCTTTTGACAAGATTATCCCCATTCCTCCTCCCTATTTTATACTTTATTTGCTCTATTTTTATGTTTCATAAACATTTGTTACAAATTGGCAAATATTTTGTCAACATAAGAAAAAAGGTAGGAACTGGCTGTGGCTCCATGGTAGCGTGCTTACCCAGCATATGAGAGGCACTGGGTTCGATCCTCAGCACCACATAAAAATAAATAAATAAAATAAAGATACTGTGTCTATCTACAACTAAAAATTAAAAAAAAAAAGAAGAAGAAGAAAGAAAAAGAAAAGAAAAAATGTAGAATTTCTGAGAGAGGTTTTAGGTCTATAGTTTATTCCATTGGCCCAGTAAAGGGATTTGGTTTTCTAAAAATATAAGTACATAAACACCTGTAAAAAGACCTGTACTGGTGACAGTTCATTTGGTGGAGGAGTTCTGCTTTAAGGTATTCGCAAAACTTAACCTGAGTAAATGTTATTTAGTTCCATTTTGAGAGATAGGATAGCATATTTTATAATGTCTTTTTTTTTTTTTTTTTCCTATTTGACCGCATTAATGAGAGTTGGAGTATAAGGAAGAATCTATTACATTAGGAAGGGTGATAATGGCATATTTTATAACCTGGATGAACTAGCTTTGCTTATTTCTACTTGTTAATTAGGCTTTTGATGTTTTTATAGACAGTCTGCTTCATCTCGATTCAGCAGCGTTCCAAACTGTGGTATCCTTGGGGTTTTCTTAACATTGCTATGGTGCAGAAGATTTAAAATCAGGTATGGCTGTGAGGCCAAAGTTCCTCAGTAAAATTCTCAATTTAAATCTACCTTGTGATCTCTGATTTATCATTTGGGTTTCTTTTTTTGTGGTGGCCCTTTAGCTGATGTTCACAAGGAATAGAGTCACGTGATGTATGAAGGGAAACATATACACTTCTCTGAGGTTGACAATAAGCCCTTGTGCTCGTATAGCCCCAAACTGTGCAAGCAGCGGCGTCTCAACGGCTACGCTTTCTGTATCAGACACGTTCTGGAGGACAAGACTGCCCCCTTCAAGCAATGTGAATATGTGGCCAAGTACAACAGCCAGCGCTGCACCAACCCCATCCCCAAATCAGAGGATCGTAGGTAAGCAGTCAGTCCTTGATTTCAAGGGTAAACTTGCCTCCTTGTCTTCTGTCTTCTCTTTTTTCCTTTCTCCCTCTTTATGTGTGGTGAATTTAAATGTTGAGTTCTGGGGGAATCCAAGTAAACTTGGGAATACTTCTTAAAAGATTGAAATTTCTTTTAAACAGAGTAGTAAGTTTGAGGGATTATTTTAAAAATATGTGCAAGTCTTTTCTTTTTTTATTCATTTCATAGACTTTTTAAAATTATTTCCCCTGAAAATTGCTGCTTGGCTTCTTGATACTAGTTTACTTGGTTTGTGTCCTTATAAAGTATTCCTGTTTTTTCTACTTAGTTTTATCCATCTGCCTAGCGAAAGAAACTATAGGAAATAACTGTTAAAATTTATAATAATTTGGGTGTTTTTAAATATATGCATGAAAGATAGTGAAGGATATGTTAATTAAATATATGTAGTTAAATCCTAATTAAGGGTTGGGGTTGTGGCTCAGCGGTAGAGCACTCGCTTAGCCATGTAAGGCCCTGGGTTCTATCCTCAGCACCACATATAAATAAATAAAATAAAGGTATTGTGTCCAACTACAACTAAAAACTAAATATTAAAAAAAAAATCCTAATTAAAAGAGGATTTAAAATAGTATTCAAAATATTCAGAAGATTTACTTCCTAAACAGACTATTAAGTTTTGGCATTGTCTTATATGTAATTTTGACTTTTTTTGGTCAAAAAGGGTTCCAAATACATTTTGTTTACCATAATTTAGACACTTTTTGCTTTATGGGTAGGCTAAAGTGTGGAAGTTATTTTGAAAGGAGTTAAGACCCATTGTCTTTCATAGTCTTAAGAAAATTTATGCTTTCAGATATAATCTCTTCTTCATGTATCTTTGTCTTTAGTTCTCCAGAAACCATTCTTATCATTGTGGAACATGACACAGGGATGCATGCTTGTTTTCCCAAAGTTTTAGATAGTTATCTTTAGGTATAAGATTTGAAACTTTTACTTCCGTCTTAGATCATGCGTGCACACACACACCTAACACCCTCACACTCTCACCCACAATTGTATACATAAGCAAATGCTACCAGTTATACATTAGTTGAAAAAGAGAGACATGTGTTTTTTTATGTCATAGTAAATACTGTTTTTTAATTTTTTCGTGTGAAATAATTTGTGTTGGTAGAGATACGACCAAAATGAGAATATATATAATGTGATGATTTGGGAGTACCCTACTAGAATTTCTAATGAGCATTAAGGCTTCAAATAACAATACCTGAAAGTTAGAAACAGCTGCTTAGTGAGGCAAGAAATAAAATTTTAATCTCAGGTGAGAAAGGGACCTGTATATTAGGCTAAACATATCTATCTAGTGGGTTTTAGCTCACTGAAAATAATAATTTCTTACCTCTGCTCTCTTTTAACAGCCCAATTTCTAAGCTTGGAGTAATTTCTTTACTTCAAGCTCCATTGTAAACACATTTCTATAATTTTGTCTTAAATTCAGTTTATCACAGTTGCAATTGTCAGCCTTGGATTTCTTTTGGTGTTTTTTTTTTTTTTTTTCCCCTATTTGAGCTAAAGCAAGTATTATCTTAATAGTTAACAGTAAGCCTGAGGAAAGAGTCCTGAATTTCTTTAAAATTTTAATTGTCTTCATCATTGTCTTCAAAGTAATTTCCTCTTTTGAGGAAAGGATAAGGGAAAGAAGTTTTGTGTTTCTATGTTAAGAGAAGCTATGCAAGATATAACAAGTTATGCTTCTTTTTTTCAAAATTGTTTTATGACCATATCAATGAAAATTATAGGATTTTTTTTGTTTCAGCACTGGGATTTTTTTTTTTTTTTTTTATAAAGCACTGGGGAATTGAACCCAGGGCTTTGTGCATGCTAGGCAAGTACTCTTCCACTAGGTACATCTCCAGCCCTCGGTATTTTTGTTGCTTGTCGGGTTGCCTGAAAATAAATTAAAGTGAAGTCAAAAGAGGTAATGTTATTTTTTTTTTTTTTCAGTTGTAGATGCACGCAATACCTTTATTTTGTTTATTTTTTTATGTGGTGCTGAGGATCGAACCCAGTGCCTCACACATGCTAGGAAAGCACTCTAACTGAGCCACAACTCCACCCCAAAAGAGATGATATTCTTGTTACCTCAAGAAATCCAGGTTGAATTCATATATTAATATGTTTAAACTTATATATGTTTAAATATATATATGTTGATATATATATATATATATATTTTAATAGCTTAATTAAGATGTGATTCACATACCATACAGTTCATTCATTTAAAGGGTACTAGTCAGTATTTTTTACTACGACACAAGACTACACAGCTATCATCGTAATCTAATTTTAGAACATATTTATTATCCCCAAAGAAACCCTGACTCCATTAGCAGTCATTTCCAGGTGGTGGTTCTTTTAGACTGAAAATTTGAATCTATATACTTATTTTAAATGTTGTTCATAACTAAGTTATTATAGTCTAGTTATAAAGAATTTTTCCACTTAAAAGAAGCAGAGTTTTATATATATATATA